TGAAGATGAGAATGTATGGTTTCACTGGCGTGTACGGGGGAGGGGGGGGGGGTTATGGTAGGCATCTCAGTGGGTCATAAAAGCTATGAAATACATGCTAAGCAATGGAGCGTTTTTGTGAAGGGTGGGGGGGAAGTGGGTGGGGGTATATCAAAAAAAATGTCACAATTATACAGAAACTTGACAGAAAGCAACGTCCACAAGGTTTAGTAAATGTTAATTCTGCTTTTGCATGGCAGTACTCATGTAGTGACTAGTTAATTAGATTAAGCCAGTTAAAAACAAGCATGTATGTCTGAATTACTTGGACTACATTAATGGTAAGTGTGTGTGTTTACAATAGGTTAGATGTACTTGGGCCCATTATTTGAGATGGGCTTGTCAAACCCTTGTAGAATTCCCCAGTCTTTGTTGCTTAATTATTTTCCATGTGGTGGTGATATGTGTTTTGAGTGGGTGGGCTTAGCCTACACCTGGTCATTGTCTGGGTTTCTCTGCACTAACTCTTCCACCTCGATTATCTCCACCACCAAATCTCTGATATCTTTGATGCTGTCCAGGGGCAGCTCCTCCTCGACAGGATCAGAGCTGTCGTCGGTAGAAACGTTTGCCTTGGATGGATCATGGGCGCCCCCTGCTGGCTCCACTTCTGAATGGGATGCGACGGCTGGCGTTCCTGCCTGCAATCCTTGGTCAGTCGTGCCTGACACGCCGTTGCTCCCGGCAGTGTCGGCATCTTGGGAAACCAGAGCTGTTCCTCCAGAATCTCCAGTGTTCATGATGCAAGAAGCCAGGTGACCTGTGACCTCTTTGCTGGCATCACCGCTGACTTCTGAATTTGATTCCACAGCCGGAGTGGTAAAAAGATCTGTCACACACTCTGTGGAGGCTGGGACCACCTCACTCTCTTTCTCTGCATGATGGACTGTACCACTCTCCTCCTCCACACAGGGTGCATGATGGACTGTACCACTCTCCTCCTCCACACAGGGTACATGATGTACTGTACCACTCTCGTCCTCCACACAGGGTACATGATGGACTGTACCACTCTCCTCCTCCACACAGGGTACATGATGGANTCCTCCACACAGGGTACATGATGGACTGTACCACTCTCCTCCTCCACACAGGGTACATGATGGATTGTACCACTCTCCAGAGAGGGTTTAGGATGAACTCCAGCATTGTCTTCCAGCCCTTCTTGGGGTGTTTTATCACTGTCTTTTACCTCTGGAGAGGATTCCTCAGTACTTTCTCTTATTTCCAGTTCAGACTCGAATACAGTGCTGTCTTTTCCAGGCAGGGAATCGTTGACTCCTGAACCACTGTTTGTCGCACTAAGGGGAACTGAGCCACTGTCTTTAACCTTGACAGGGTCAGCCATGACGGTACCATCTTCTGCTCCTACAGATCCATCCATGCATACGATGCTGCTTTCCTTAATCTCTGTTGGACACCTAAGGTAGACCGCTCTGTCTGTCACCTGCTGCTGGGCTGTAGCCATCAGCCTGTCCTCTACCATCCCATCTGTACCAGTTCCAGCACAGTTTAGGCTGAGTGCTGCAATGTGTTCCACCACATGTTCTGCTTGGGCAGTGACCTCAGAGCTGGGGGCGGGGCCTTCAGCATCCAGGGCGGGGCCTGGAGTCTCTGCCTCGGCCTCTTTGGCTGAGATTGGCGTAACCCCCTGCTGTTGGCTCACAGGCCCCCCGTTTCCCAGGAGCGGCGATGTGGGTCTTTGTGAGGTGGCTGTTTTAGCTGGACTGGCGGGGGACGACGTGGGAGGAGTGCGACTGTCACTCAGGCTACCCTGACTGACGAAGGGGTGGTCAGTGCTGTCCACAAACAGGTTGTGCTTCTTCATTTTAGCTGCCTCCTTCACCACTATGAACAGTCAAAAAAAGAGGAACAGGTCAGGGTGACTGTAACGTGCTATTCAATTTTCTGTAGAGCAAAACTCAGGTAAACCCTGTAAAATCCACAGCCAGTGTACATATAATCACTTTTTATGCTTTATAAAGTTTATAATTCTCTTGACAGGTGCTATAAAGAAATATTGCAAGTAGGTCAGCTTTTCACAAGCAGCTCAGCCCATCTCAGCTTCAGTATGTATCCTACACTCCTCCTTTTCTCTATTCCTCTGTTCATTACACACACATCTCCATTCAGCTCCGATACAGTATCTCAGCTTCAGTACGTATCCTACACTCCTCCTTTTCTCTGTTCCTCTGTTCATTACACACACATCTTCATTCAGCTCCGATACTCAAACAGGAAACCCAGACACACATACCTTTGCTTATTTCACCCTCAAGAATTTGCAGGAGAATGTCCTCATAGACATTTTCCACTTGTATGAAATTTGTACAGTCGGCAAAGATGTACTGATCAAACTTTTGCAGCTCCTATGGAGACAAAGAGGATGGTCAATAGGTTCATGATGCCAAAAACTGACTTTGTTAGTGTCACATTGCTGTAACGTTGTGATGGGGTCGGTTGGCAGGAATCAGAAAAGTAGTTCAATTGATGTTTTGGCTGGGGGGTGGATGCCGGCCAAAGGGACTGACCAGTTTGTAAGTAGGGGCCAAATTCCTCTGGATGGCAGGCAGGGTGACGTCCACCAGGGCCTCCTGGAAGATCCTCTTCCTCACTGTACTACTGTCATAGTCGTATTGCTGATTGATAAGAAATGCTATTTAATTTCCTGTTTCCTATTAGTTTTACTCTTGAAGCCTTTGAAGCTGGTAATATAGCTTAGCATCTTTTGGATGGAAGGACAGAGCATAAATCGACCTAATCCAGGCTGTCTGTATGATCTGGTTATGTCAGCGAATTAATGTAATGTGCTCCATGTAGCTTTGGATCTGGCATTGACTGAGCCTGCCTACCTTCAGAACCCTGTGTTTGACTTTCTCTATATCCAAGGCAGGATTGGCCGGGTTGCCCTTAAGAGCAGCTCTCAGCAGGATCTCGAAGGTGTACGCTGCATTTTCCATCAGCTACGGCCAGCAGAGCAGAAGAAAACATGTCATTAATAGAAAGCTCTTTGTGGGAAATGTTCAGTCATAATATGTTTGGTTTAGCTGAACACTAAATCTAATTGTATTACTAATACTGGCAGAACCCAGAGGCTGACTTATGCTGCACATGAATGACACCTAGTGGTCACCTGTTGTATGTCAATCAGGGCACAGTGCACCAGGCGTGTGACATTGGAGAACTTAAAGCGGTTACGGAGTTCCTGGAGTTGCACTGTGAGGACATCCAAGTGCTGGTGACAGTCCTGCAGTCCTTCCCTCCCCAGTTTATCCAGGGCCTGAGGGGGAAACTCAAGAAGGGGAAATACTTTAATGAATGATAATGGTTTGCCTAGGTCTTGTGGCACAGGGACACAGTTGTAAAAATAGTTGTGTTTCGGAGTTTGGCCCCCCACCGCTTTTAGGTCTGCAGGAGCCCCCTTCTCCTGAACTTCCTGGCAGAGCTGGTCCATTGCCCTCTCACACTGCAGACGTGCCTCCTGAAAGCCAAGGCTGATAGGACCCATCAGCTCCTCCAGGATGGATGCTAGGTACGGCTGCACGCTCTCGGCGCTGAACTTCCGCACCGCTTCCGACACCGTGGCTGCAGGAGGGTAGGAAGACAAGATGGCTTTGGCCAAGCGCTTGAATGTGAAACCGAGCGTCAAGCATAAGAGGTGGTGTGAGATAGGTGAGGTAGGTGCATGAACGTTCTCATTCTCAAATCGTCGGTACTGCTAGTCGGCAAGTGGACACCTCAGAGCTGCTAGCTCTCAATATCTTTACAGCTAGCATACTAAAAGACATCTACAAACCCTGGTTGACCCTCCAACCTCTTTTACCTTCCAGCTTGCCAGCCAGGAAGTTTTTGGAGTTGACAATCTGGTCCATATTCTCACGAATTTGGGCCTCCTGTTTTTTGGCATCAGAGGAGCACTCCTCCTTCAGGGAGGCCAGACCCTCTGACAGCTGCTCCTGGACCAGAAGGTAGGCCGCTTCCACTGTCTGAGGGAGAACCGTCAGAGGAACCAAATTGTTTAGGTGGAAGATCACCCACCATGACATTCTTTAGTGCTAACCTAATCTAGAGCGTCAACCGGTCCAAACCCAACCCCAATAAGGACATTTGAGGGTGAAAGGAGGAAACATGACGCAAAGTAAAGCCTAGATTTTAGTCACGATTTGTGTTCAAGTTACCATGGCTACAGCAAGTGCTCCTTCTTTGCACACAGATGCGATGGAGTACCAACGCTAAGGCAATGCGTGACAGTGTTGCTAAGTTGTGCAGCAGCGGTTGCTGTATTGGACGACTCACACCCACCGCAAACCACACTCTCTTCCTCTCCATCTTCTTTCCCTTCAGCCGAGGCACTATCTCACTCTGCAGCGCGGGCACCAGCTCCTCCATCACCAGGTTGGCCAGCACCTTTAGAGCACACGAAGTCGAGAGCCGTGCCAGGAAGAGTGGAGGGGCACACAAGCGGCGGGTCAGCTGAAGCAGCCACTCATGCTCTGACCGTGTGGCTCTAACACACCCCGGTGCGCTCCTTGGTAACCCTACCATACGCCCTGGCCTGGTTCTGTTCTTTCATACATTCCGGATCTCAAACCGTGTAGGAATGTGGGGGGTGGGTTTCTTCAACAATAGCCCAGCGAGAGCGTAGGTGTTTCCTGAGCAATGGCTACGCTTCCTGCAAACAGCACTTGCTCAAAAACAAACCTGCCTTGACCCACACTAAAGTCCCACACTGTTCTCAGTGGTTTCACGGTGTACCAGGTCAGATTGATTCCACAATGAGCAGACCAGCTCTTCATAGGTGAGTCAGTTATTCGCACAGAAGGTCATCTTGTGAGTCCCAGGGCGAAACACGGAGGCAACGCCAGCCCTTGCACTCCAGCATCAACAAATAGCGTTGGTTTCAGACTTCACAGTGGCTGCATTTTTTTGCGAAAATGAAACTAACACCTGCCACAGAGTAGGAACCCACCTGCACATCGCTGCCAATCAGCATATTCCATGATTCATAGTGACCCTTCTCCTGTCTGTGCAGTTGGACTGCTTTCACAAAGGCCTGGACTTCACACGTTGTCTTCTTCAGGAAGTCTGGGAAAGGGACGAGGATAGGAGGGTCCCTCATGACACATAAGAGCCATCATTTACATCATTCACACTTACGTCAGTGTTAATCTATAGAAATGTAATCATTTGCATAGTGAGGAACGATATTTCACTTGCGCCCTTTTATGGAACTGTAGTCACAACAAAAGCGCAATGAAAGGAAGAATTAAATTTGAAGAACGGGTTACTCAGTCACAGGAGTGGGCAAACTTACCCGCAAAGGGCCGGTGTATATGCAGGTTTTTGAGATAACCTTAAGGTCAGCTGTTCAAACCCCCGTGTGAGAACTCTTCAGCCAATCAGTCCTCTAATTAGTAATCAAATTTGGGAGTTGCAGCGAAAACCAGCACACACACTGGCCCTTTCTGGATAAGATTGCCCACCCCTGCTCTATCAGGGTATTTTAATGAGAAGCTGCACTGAAATCGATCTGGTATTTTATCTAAATTTCTCTCAGCTTCATGGACACACGGTGGTTCTTCAGTGTGCCGTCAGTGTGAAAAATAGGCCACCTCCTCGCAGGCCTGTGCTAACCGCCAGCCGACTGGTAAGAGGAGGGCCTCCAGTGTGCAGGAAGCAGCCGTGACAAAGATAAGTATTATTAGCACGCTCTAACCGCTGTAGGAAACCCACTAATGAGAAGCCCGTAGCCTGCTTAGAACACAGCACTGCAATTCGAGCACCCGCCGCTGGAACTGCGCCGATACAGAATACTTATAGGTGGTACCGTGGTTCTGGTGTCGGATGCAGTCGTTGAGCACGGACACAAAGGGCGCCCGGCGGTCCTCCTGGTCGAAGCAGAAATAGGCGTGTTTGCAGTAAGGCAGCTGCAGGTAGACGGGGAACGGGCCGGGCACAGCCACCAGGGGAGCAGCTGGTTCCTCCTTGGTGCCTGCAGCCGAGGAGGAAGTGGAACAAGAAGCGACGAGCGATGAGGAAGTCCTTGAAAGTTAAAAAAATTTACTCTGGATGATGGATGGTGACAAGAAGAAAGTCTAGCCATACTTTCCAGAAGATAGTAAAAACCATACAGGCAGCTGGATGTCATCTCTGCTCCTCTGTTGATGCTTTTATTAGCATTAGAACATTGACTTATTCATACTACTGCTACCAGAAGGGACACTCACTGTTGGGGTCAGGGAAGGCCTTGTCCACCACGGCCATATATTTCTCTTCCGATGTCAGAACAGTGCCTCCTGTTGGCTGGAGTTTGTATCGCGGGGGAGCACCTTTTGTGAAGGTCTGGTAAAAAGAACCACAACACAGCAGAGATTGCCGAGCCCCTTTTAAGTGTTTGCCCTTGGCCGTTCGAAAGATCATTCATACGCACTGAGCTACTCCAGTGGCAAATATGTACAACCTCATTACTGTCGTGGCACTCGAGGCTGTAGTCGGCTCGCACCACCACAAGCCTCTCCTTCCACTTCCTGGTGTCATCAAAGTGCAGCACGGTCTCCTTATAGATGACCTCAGATTCCTTTGGGGCTTCCTGTTAACAGCAGACAGGGTTAATCGATCACAGAGCTGCCAATCCTAGCCACTTCAACTGAAAGGATACATATTTTACAAGATGAATTGATTTCCTTTAGCCCGGAAACAACCTGGTAGCATGAGCTGGGGGGAGGGGGGTGATTGGGGATGGTAGGAAAAAGGGAGAAAAAGAGGTATAGATATACATCCGTATATATTTAAGGATATGGAAAAACGTAGCAAAGGGAGACATGGGGTGTTTCTCAATACCAAGAATGCAAAGATCGTACTTCTGGTCTTGGGAAGATTGGTCTTGCTAACTTCCCTTCTAAGCATGAATTTGGGGCACAATGAATTATGGGATTGGTCTTGTTTGGCGAGGATGCATCCTTGATATCTGGGCCGGTGCAAGAATGACATTCAGGGATTTTTACTATCCTCTGTACTTCCGTTCTTGAGTATTGGAACTGCTCTTCGACAATGGAAGATGACGTTAAACGGGTACATGAGAACACAAGTTCAGTCGAGTACGCATATTAAGATTCACCCATGCAGCTTCACGCCATCATTGTGAGCAGCCACTCACTGCCTTTATAACCCGCCCACTCAATTTTACTGGTTCCCATTGGCTGGCACCAAGCAGGTAACCCCGCCCTCTGTTCGCCTCAAAGACTCATGTCAGCCTCGCCTTACCCGCTGCTTCAGGAGCTGCGGCTGGCCCGTCTTGTGCTGCTCCACCTCATCCTGCACCTGGGAGAAGAAGGTCACCAGGTACTGACGCCTGTAGTGAGGGCTGAAGTTCTTCAGCTTGGCCTCTGTCTGGCCTGAAACACGAAGGGACGTTGCTTTAGGGGGTCAGCCAATTTCATAAGTGTCAGATATCTGTAAAACCCTATAATACCATAAGTAGAGCAGTATGCTCACCACACAAAGGTTATGGGTTTGAATTCCAGGGAGTCACATTTTCCTCCACTATAAGTTGCTTTGGATAAAATCATCACATAAATGTCCCCAGCAACCGCATGATCTGATATATTTAAATGAGCTGTTCCCCATGAATCTATTTCTAAATATCAAGTTAAGTCATAATGTATAATCATGAATAATATGCATAACTTTCAGAATAACTACCAAATATCCTTTTTTACCATTAGGTTCTACTTAAAACCACCATATAACAGAAAATAATTTTATCCACCCAAGACAATATAATTCCAATACTAATGTACTGTATAATTTAAAATCCAGGAAAATACTACAAAGAGTCTAATTTAGCTAGAATTTATGGGTGGAATGAATTACTCAAATGCATGAAAAGGCCAAAATGAAAACAGACACCTAGGTGCAGGACAGACAGCAGCATTTAATTTCCCAAATAACAAACAGAGCATCTATGATTCTGTCACTATTCAGTTTTTCCTTCCACATTCTGCGCTGTGTTAGTAGTTCTTTACTTGGAGCTGGTGAAAAATTTTCATTTTTTCCCCCGTTCACTCTTTCTCATCTTGGAATACGGTCTGTGGAAATTATTGCACATTTCTGGCATACAAATGCATTCAAGGGACAAGAATCACATTCATGAAGGAAGCAGCGCAGCTTTTACCGTGAAGATTATAGTTCTGGTTTACCAGAACTCTGTGTATGTCACCATGGTGACATGGCGTGAGTTACTTGGTATACCAGAACTGCATATGGTTAGTAATCTCGTCATCTGTTCACAGCTGCTTTTCACGTTTCACAATCTGACTATCCCCTGATGGCACACAGAATTGAAAAGCGTTTAGTGGTGACTTTGTGAGAAAGTTCCTGCAGCTGTCTGCATCACACTGGCATGGGACAGCAAATCGAACAGTTCTGAGTTTATCAGCTTCTGGACTCTGGCGTCCTGGATCATCTGGGGTCTCTGGGAAACGAGTTACTCGGTCCAGCCCCCATGAGCCAAACAGGACGACTGGCTCATGTCCTGCTCAGACTTGTGGGCCTTCTCAGAAACCTTGCGTCCAGTTTTCTTTCACGGGGGGTGGGAGTGGGGGGGGGGGGTAGATTTTTCCCTCAAGCTTCAACGTTAAGAAACAATATGCTGAGTCAGTGAGCAGCATAAGAGTTTCGACACGATGAGACTGTACTGCAGCTGTGAAAACTTACAAGAGACAGGATATCACCTCCCTTCAAAAACAGCGGGATTCTGTTGAATTGATACTTTATTTGCCATTTGCACAATTACATTGGAATGTTTTTTCTTACATATCCCATCACGCTCTCCTTTGAGACAGAAACACACATACATACAGGTGAGAGTTAAACTCACGGTTCTGCCATTTATTCGTCTTTCAGGCAAAGGGGTTAAGGGACTTATTCAAGGGGATTAGTCATATCTACTTTACTGAGGCCGGGACTCGAACTGGCAGCCTTACGATCGCAGGTACAAAGGCCTAACTGGCAACCTTACGATCGCAGGTACAAAGGCCTAACTGGCAGCCTTACGATCGCAGGTACAAAGGCCTAACTGGCAACCTTACGATCGCAGGTACAAAGGCCTAACTTGCAACCTTACGATCGCAGGTACAAAGGCCTAACTGGCAACCTTACGATCGCAGGTACAAAGGCCTAACTTGCAACCTTACGATCGCAGGTACAAAGGCCTAACTGGCAACCTTAC